ATATCTTACGTTTCTGTCATGTTCTTCATTAACGGTCTCATGATTAGAAATAAGTATGTATGAAAATGACGTTTCTTGTGGTTCTATCTGCAGCGGTACTTGATTACCTTTCGTTAAGAATCTTTATTAGAGCCCGTAGCGAGCTGACCTAGTAAGATTGGCAGTCTGAGAAAATAAAAATACACGCAACTCTTTTATTATAACTCTTATAGATGAAAATATACATTCAAAATTCACAGACAAATTACATTTACTTCAAGATTACAATCATTCAATTTAAATCAATTATACTACGATCAGTCACTAGAATGAAAGATTTTAAAAAGAGGGACTGCCTTTTTCATCTATCAGAAAGTCGTAGACTTTTAATGTATGTAAGAATATTTTCTAATAATATTAATAGATGCGTATTATATATACAGGTGTTAGTGCAATCAAATTATTAATTACTTTGTTGTTCAAGATAAATAGAACGTTCCACGAAACTTTTTCACTTTGTACTCTGTATTTTATTACTGTTACATGTAATATAAGTTATACCAATGATATTTAAAAATTATCAAACTATTTTAAGTAATTAAATATCATATTTTCAACTTACAATATAAGATAAGAAACTTTATCATGTTTTACATATACGTTGTCTATGTATATATAATGTATTACATAAAAATTTAGAATAGTAATATAGACATTTCAAATTTGTCAAAATATTTGTTTCGAGAGAACCGTTTATTTCCGTTCCACATAACAAGGAATTGTGATACATTGCGTGTCATGTTACGCCCAACGTTGGCTCGTTAGTTCTTAATCGAAATCGCATCCTTCGATCTCTCGTCGTACCATGTGTCATTATGTACTCATCCAAATTATGCCAATTAACCATCGCTGGAACAAATTTCGCTTTTTGCAACGGAGAAAGGGTCTGTAAATACTACGGTGCGTTCCACATTACGTGCGGCTTAGATATTTAAAAACGCAGGCTTGGAATGTTCGCTGACGATGAAATAAAGATGAAATAATGATTTCTACGTATAAAGGTAAACTATAAACATTTCTGCATACTCCAGGAAAAATGTAAATTAAAGTAAATTTCTAGTTGTTTTTATAAATTTTTTCTCTATATTTTTATTACTCTATCAGGCAGAAGATGAATGTTTACTATAGTTGGCTCCGAAATAAATTGTATTATACATACATTCAATGTAAAAGCGGTGAAACTTAATTATTATCTTATATTACTGCAATCTCTATTTTTGTAAATTCTTGCTGATGATGTGAATTAAATTTGTTCATAGAAAGTGTTAAAGCAAATTTAATTCACTATTAAATAATAACAATATGTCTGTAATAGTTAGATATATTTTAGTGTTATAGCGAAACATAACACCTTTTAAATTAAGCAAAAAAATTTATAGATATTCGTAAGAAATCGCTATCAGGAGATGTATAATAATTAAGCATTTAGACAGCACAGAATACGCAAAGTAATTATAATTTTGTAAAATTGTAAAACCGACTACAAGCTGCGGTAGAAATGTGTAAAATTAACAATAAAAGATAAGACTATAAACGAAGTGTCGCGTTGAGTGGCAAAAGGCGATTGAACCTGACCCAGTGAGGCGGTCCCCTGGATTCCGCCGCGGGTATTCAAGAAGCGGATGGGCTCACGATATATCAGCGCGCCGTAGGTCGCGACTTGACCCACAGTCTGAAACTGCGAGCCATGGTCTTTCTCTCGTCAGGCTGAACGCGAGTTATGGCGCACCATGGCGTTATACCGCGCCGAGGAAGAAGACGAGGACTCGCTGGAGAGGCAGCCGAGAGAGGCGACGTGCACACGTGCACCTCGGGGCATTCGCGGGTTGGCAGTCGGCTCTTGTAAGCCGCCCGGTGAATGCCACTCGCGGCTCTCAAACGCGCGTTTTTCCCAACCTCTCTCGGTTGCACCTAGAGGGGTTCGTGTCTAGCGACTGTGCTGTACAATTTCGCACCAAGGGATATATGTTACCGAGAGGGAATCTCACGCAAAATGGGGGAGGGATGTAGGGGAGGGCAAGTGCCCCGATATTTTTAACTAATCATTTTCACGGTGGTAATATACATCAGTATTGAATGTTAACGCGAGAACGGAAGACGAGAAAGAAGAAGAAGAGAGAGAGAGAGAGAGAGAGACAGAGAAAAGTGCGAGGGCGCGGGTGTGTGATTTTTAACAAGTGCGCTCATCTCTTTTACTCCGTAGAAGAGAGTCAGCTCCGTTTCGCGCGTCGGCGTGGTGGTCTACGGGTTGGTGTTAAAATTGGGATGAGATAAACGACTTCTACTAAATGTTAAAGAAAGAAAGGGAGGGAGAGGAAAAGAGTCAGAGAATTCAATAGGATTGTCTACTTGGAACATTTGAAATCGTTCTTTGTTCCAATCTTCTTACACAAGAATCTTACTGAATACTGTAGTTGCGTTAATAGTGCTTCGTATAGATGTGAGTAAAGTGTTCCGTAATTATATATCGAAATATTATAGTAAATACTATAGTACATTATGATGTAATTATATTCATCAAACGCGTTATTGAATTAATGTTAAACTTACACGTTTTATCTTAAGCTATGTATTATTGTTACATAGAGAGTTTCAAGGAACAATTTCATTATAAAATCCACGCGCACATATTATATGTATATTACAGTAAGAAAATCTTTTTTTTTAAATACAGTATTACAATCTTCACGAAATAGTAGGTATAATAGCAATGATTCTACAAATTTTCTATTTTGCTGTCGATCACATTAGGTTGTTTTACAACAACGAGTTTCCAGTAGCATACTTTCTTGACAATTTCAAATCGACTCGTTGGTAATGCGTTACGAGAACAATTCATGAAATGATACCAAAATACATTTAATTTAGCCTTAAAAGAATGAAAATTTGACTTTGATTGGTATATAATCTTTCAATTTGTATCGGGTAATTCCCTTTATTTAAAATTATATACAACATACATAAAATGATCGAAATCGTTTAGAGATTAATCTTCATATATTAAACAGTGGGTCAAGTTTGTGTTTGAAAAGCACATGTAAGTAACGACAGGTTACAGATTGATTTACGAACGAATAATAGAAGGAAGATAAATCGCTGTCGCACTTAGCGGGTATAACATCGGCGAGTCACTCGAAATAATCGCGAGGCTCCGTTACGCTAATAAAAAAACGACTACAATTCTTTGAGCCGAAATCATGAAAATTGTAAATTTTTTTGAAATATTTCATAAGAATATCACGTTTTCTTCATGCGGTTAGCCACATTACGCGCAGTGAACAAACGTGGGAATTTCTGAGACATCAGTGACAGTGACACATCCGCAATCCAAAGAAGAACTAGTTATACGCTGTCACATACGTAAACGATCTTATAATCGTGGGAAAGCGTAAATAGTGCGATATAAATAGAAAACATGAATTCGATAATAAAAATACAAGTATAGGAAACCAAAGTGAAAATTATCTAACTATATTTAAACAAGGATATTTGGTATAAGCCAGAAACGCAAATGTTCGTACAAAAATGAACATTCATACATAACTTAAATATTGAATTTAATTCTTACTTAAGATTCTCTTCAATCTATATTATACGAATGAATAACATTACATTACACTATATGTTTTTAATGTCAATATGAAATCAGAAATTCTGCCAATTAGAGTAATTTTGATAACGCATTCGATTTTATAAATATACTTATTTTTATTAGAACGGAAAATATATACCTACGTGTACATTCAACATAAAATATTCTCACATAAATGTCGCGAGTATAATTTACGAACATTCTGCGGCACGAGATCGTACAATTAATGAAGTTGTATCATAAAATCACGACTTTAATTCCCTTGCCATTTAAAGAAATGCAGTACGCAGCATCCATTCTATAAATGCTATTTTTGACTTGCTTCCTCGACTCGTAATTACGCAAGTGTAAACACAATGCGAGTAATACAGCAATTATATGCGCATTCGTGATTTAATGTAATAGTTATTCCTAATGGGTAAACAATTGGAACAGGAAGTAAAAAACCTGAAGATACTGCCGTTGAAAAGAAAAAATTGAATGCGTTGAAATTTACAATGTTATATAAACTTTTGTGTGACATAAATATTTATTGAGGCATTTGAATTGATATATTTGTTATTAATGATATAAACCTCCTGTAACTTTAACAGTCATAATTTTATATTCTATATTCCAAAACAGAACAAGTAAAATTTACTTTATTATTTATTACTTAGTAGGATAATTTAAAGAATATTGGAACATATATGATAAATATGTGGTTTTTGAGATTTTAATTATACATGTATTATATCTTGATTATAATTATTATTTTGAATCTGCTTAAGATGACAAAGTAGATACAGAAAGTAGGTTCAAAGACAAAAGTTTTAAAATTTAATACAACAATGAATAATTGAAAATAAACGAATGTGATTAAACAGATTCAACTGCAGATTGTGTGAAGATCTATCTTTTCTGCAAAGAGTTCTCCATACCATCCGAGAAGGAAGACATAAGCTGTTACTTAAGCTGTTACACGACTCTGACTGAAGGCCAGGGTCGTGGCACGCGAGACTTATGCAGTTCAGAATCCCACGGTCCTGATAGCCGGTCATGCAATCAAACACGATCTTCGCGCTACAAGTAACGCGGAAAAAGTATCTCCAGGGAAAAAGATAAAAATTCATTCATAAAACGTATGTATACCCAATAGTAACAAAGTGTATTAAATGTAAAAATTAAAAAGTTCTGTGTGCGAATAACTTGTGTAAAAGATGCGGACAATAATAATTTAATTAACAGACATTATATATGCAACCCGTTGATAATATATTTTATGAAAGTGTGAAAAAAACAGTGTGATTACGAGCAAAATTGTTTCTCTTTAATAATTTATTTTAATTTAGTGTCGTGTTATAAAAGTAAAGTCCAGCGATAAATAACAATGGGCAATACCAGATCACAACCCTGCGGACGAAGCAAAACTCTTTATTTATTCTATCTTATCCACCGAACATGGAACGTCGTCATAGATCGGAAGGATCAAGATCGTTGTGACGATACCGATAGAGAAACGGACTTATCATCAAAATGCAGCACTTGCAACGTATGCGATTACCGACGGGACAGTCTGATCTTCGAAAGGTAACTAAAAACTGCAATATTTACGATCGATAAATTTAACACTGCATTACCTGCATTTAGTTATTTAGATTATTATATCAACTTTCGATAATGATATCAACTGTTGAGAAATTTTTATATCAACATTCGATAGTGTCCATATTCTTCACTCGCTTTTGATCCATCAGACCTATTTGATAATCATAATAATTTACCCAGAGAATATATTACGTTATCGTTTCTATATTAAGTTCATTTGTCACAAAATTAAAAGTATAATATGTCCATTATTATAATTTTAATTAAAGAGCATTATAGAGAGAAAAATGCTCTCTCTCTCTCTCTCTCTACTCTCTCTGTCTTACAATTGTTAATGTATACATATACAATTCTTTATAATTTACTTCTATTTCCTAATATTCTTTTTTATTTTAAAAAATTACTATAAAATCATATCTATAAATAAATGCTTTATAATGAATGAATATATAATATTTATTTTCACATAAAATTGTAATAATAGTGTTGGGTAATACAAACGATATAATGGAATATCGTAGTACATAAAAGTTTTCACAAATTAAGCGTTGTTTTGTTACAGTTTCATTACAAATATGTACATGGAATATATATAAACTTTCATATCCGTGAAAACTACCAATTTTTGTCGTACGTGTAACCGATAGGAAATTATCCGTAGAAACCGTTTCAACTTACATCAAGCGTTTCACCTAGATTGATAATTCCAGTTTTAAACGACGCATCCAATGAAACAACATTGCATCTATATAATTGTACATGTCACACACATTTTAGACCCACTTTAAAGGATCTAGTTTGTATGATAGACTTTAGGATAAAACTTTATTTATAATTATATATATATATATCGAGTATATGTTTTTTCGAATATTGTTACTTGAATGAAATTTTATAAAACTGGTGAAATTTATTACAACATATTTTCTTTATTTAAGAGACCAACTATAATAGTAAGACAGCAAATATATATTGTATATAAATTGGTAGATAAAGAAAAAGAAATAAGGAGCAATAAGAATTTTAAATTGTAACTGACGTTACCGAGGAATATACAATATAAAAATTCTTGCAAATTACACTCGAATAGAAATATTTCTGCGACAGAACAGACTTACAAAATACAAGAAAACCTATCTTCTTGTTTTCTCGCGAAGAAATTAAACATATAATATTTATTTCTATATATTATCTATTAATTTGACAATTTGTTATATCTGTGAGTACAGCTCATTTTGTTTTTGATTATGCGCATAATATAAATCCAGATATACTATATTTATTAATTAATAAAATAAAAGGAGATTTCTTCGGTATATATTTTTTGTACAAGTTGATACACTGTTTTACTGAAACATATTTCCATATTAATGTATTTTGCAAGGATCGTGAGTGTGTATTTTCTCGCTTCTGACATCACAATCTGAAGGAGTAGGTATAGTGGCGAGTGAACGGGAGCTTTAACTCATGCGATATATTAAGTTTATAATCGATTTTTCTTGCAACTTGTAAATTTGACGAGTCACGTTTATAGAGCGCTTTGATTTACCTATATGCGGCGATTTAACGTTCCCGTTTTATGCTTATTCTGCACGTATGACGAGAAAACGGTTTGATTATCGGCTACACATCGGCGTATACGTGTGTCCCTTCCCTAGCGCGCATGATGTATCGCGAGATAAACTCGGATAAACTCTGCTTAGATTACGAGCAGGTGAAGGCGCCTGAACGCGCGATCGGCGCGATGCTTCTCCGCGTTACGTCGCGTCGCGTCGCGTCGGCCGTCCGTGCCGGTCGTGCCGCGCCGGTGTCAGTAAACCTCCAACCACCTTACGGTGCGGAGTCAGAGCGCGGTCATTCCGGCAGCGCGATGCCGATTGCTTTGATAACTGTTGGGTGATCGATGCACCGCGGGTCGCGATTAAAAAGCCGAATAATTCCTCCGCTCAAGCACGGCATAGACTGCAAACGTCTAATTAAGGTAAATTAATCGCACACACTTTAATTCGTGTCAAGTTTGCAACACAGATTTTTTTTACGATTGATTTACAACGAGACTAGTCTTTCTAAATCTCTGAACTTTTCCTTCATGCATTTAAGAATCGTTATAGCCTGCAGTTTATAATAGGATTTCAATAGGAAATTGTTCGGTCGCAAAATTGTGAGAAACGGAAGGTTGCGGAAGATGCAGTTTTAATACAATAGCAAGCGCGATTGTAACTCTCTGTTATTAAACTCGCAAGTTTCACAATTCGGCAATATATGTTATAAAGATATATTTCTATCACTTCCTGTAATCTTGCTTTGCGACAACAGTGTTGTCGTTGCAACAGAAATAATAATGAATGAAAAGTGGAAGTTCAATATATCAATTATCTTAATATATATTAATGAGACTGATATGAATATCTCGTTTAACTTGTCATTACCGCCTGTCGTCGAGAATCCGAGAATTATTGACGCGCGGTAATATAAACATGCTGCTCTCGCTTCACGCTGACGATTTTACTTGAACTTTTTGCTCGCGAAAAGCCAACGAGACGACGGTCTCGTTCAAGCTTGCTCAATATAATTACTAACGGCACATATCTTTCTTCTTTATACATATACGCGCATGAACGCGCGTCTAACGAGACGAGTAATTTAATTTTCCCATATGTAACGCGGGTCATCACAAAGTATGATAAAATGTATATAAGTGAATCGTGTGATGAATGAAACGAGATCGTATTCACGAGCGCGAACGTAAAAACCTGGTTACTTTCGTGCCAATTACCACAATTGCACAAAACGCCCGGCTCTTAACGCGAAATCAAGCCGGTACCTTATGACTGGCATGCCGCAATTGTTGCCATTGTCGCGTTCTGCCGTTGCATTGAACGAGACGCCATTGTTCTCTCTCTCTATCACAGAAATTACGCGAGTGTGGGAACCGTAAAAAGAACTACGAACAATTACGACTATAAGTGCACGCGCGTTCTGTCTACACTTTCGATAAGTACACTGCGAGCTAGATAATGTGTAACGAATTATGTGCACACAGACGCGCGCGCGCGCGCGCGCGCACCTCTATGTAGAGATATTTACATGGTTAGTTTTCTATATGTGTTTAATACGAAAATTGCAACCCCCAACGCAAACGTAAAATGAAACTGAAGCGGCAGTATTTAACATCGGATGTGCGCTGAGAATACAAGAAAACTCAATGTTTTTCTCCAATATAATCGTGATTGATACATATACTTCGTTACACGTGTAAGAACTAGCATAACTCGAATCCTTTTAATATCATGCTACTAACCTTGCTTTTTTTTTAATCGCAAAAGTGCATCTGTACGAAGACTAAAAGGTTGATCGATATCGTACAAAAGGTTCTGTTACACTTGCAATATATATCGTTGAGATATCTCATCTTTTATCCTACGTATGTGTATGCGCGTTCACACGTATAATGTTTATGCAATAGCATGTAAAATATTTTCATAGCAAGTTTCTTTACGTGAGCATATAGTTAAAAGAGTTAATTACTTAACGAAATTTTAAAAATGTAAATTTAAATATCATACAATTTTTGTTTATTTAAATTTTTATTTTTTTCGTCCGCATCTGAATATAATGCAATAAATAAACAAAAAATACGTATTTTAATGAAATGGATAGAATTTTAAGGAGGATATATAGGTATCAATCTTGATGGCCACTTCCTTATTAGATTAATCAAGTCAAAAAAACTTGCAAAGAACATTTACATCAACCCACAGGATTTTATGGTTTCGGTATAAGTCTTCACACGTAGCGTGCTTGTTTCAAATTTATTATACACCTACATATCGTATATGCATACACAAATATTTTGTTCGAAATGGAAAACACTTGATCAAAATCTAAATAGAAAATTCAAACTAAAACGATAAATAATATTATTCGTGGAGACTTATATTCGTTAATTAAAATAAATTTTAGTAATTTTAATTTTTCATTACGACGTGACATAAGTCATATAATATATATGTCCAGTAAATAACTCCAAATCTCATAATAATAAAGAGTATAACAACAACTGCAGTTTCCTCGAAGAATTTTATTACAATATCGCGTTCTCACGTATACCGGTTTATTGATAAACACGTACTAGTTCATCGATACCACAAATACGAGTTTACCAGTGCATGCAATCGCATTCTGCTCATATCAGTCGATATAATCCGGTGTTTCGAGTCGCACGTATACGATGTGACCGTCTTTTCTCAAAGACGACTCTTTAAATGTGATATGTAACTACTCTGTTCCAATTTACGTTATACACGATGTTCCGTGCAATTTAATGCCATTTAATGCTAATAAACCATTTCCATGATTGTACACGCACTTTATCGAACGTAACAATCAATTAAAAATTAAATCAATGCTGAAATATTCACCACAGACTATTATAGGCGTTTTTATGCAGATGTTCCTATGAGGTGATGTGAGATAATTCTCTTGTTTACGAAAAGTTTCTACATTATTTATAAAGAAACGATAAAAAAATAGTACTCAAAATTTTATCTTCCGGCTGATATTTTAAATATTCGAATAATTAGTTGTTTATAATATAACTATTGTTTTTACCGCTGACTCATATAAGAAAATACAGTTGCATTTTTACACATATATACAAACATATACATATCACTACTAATAAAAATATATTCGGAGATGTGAAAAAGGTTTCATTTCAAAAATTCTTTAGGAAAGAGAGAGTGAAGCATGTTAAATGACGTGCAGAAAATATAATGCAAATTATAATTAAGTAACGCAGAGAAAAAAAAGCTTAATAAAAGAATCAAATTTAAAAATGCCTTAGATATGAATTGTGCGAGCAGTCTATCACTTTGAAGCAATTCTTCGCACAACGGGATAAGTCATTAATTATGTCAGCTGCGTATTTTGTTGATTAGAATACATTTCTCGAAACGTCGGGAAACACACGGACGTTAAAC